ATATATATATATATATATATATATATATATATATATATATATATATATATATATATATATATATGCTGCTTTTACTCAATATCTGAATAGATATTTGTATCCGACCTTCTCTGAATCCGATTCATACCGTATTCGATACTCATTATTCGTATCCGTAACCGAGTCAATCCGTATTCGTATTTGTATCCGAACGCTATCCGTGTCCGAATCCGAATCCGAACAGAAATATGAAAACAAATATAATATGAGTGATATCCGTTCGTATCTGATCCGTTTTCATCCCTACTGCTGCTAAGTGCTGACCTTCCATGCGTGTGTTTCGTTGGAAGGTGGGAGAAGGTGTAATTTAGGGAGGTGTAGGATAAAACCGTCCATGTTCGCTTGAATTTATCGAGCTAACTTATCAACTATAGTACAGTGTTTTTCTCTCGCAACAAAACAGCATCAGCCGACTTATCAACCGCAGAAACCATCAGCCGAACGACTCGATGTCGTCCTTCCAAACTGAGGTGCGAGTTCATCTCCTCCTCACAAGATTCTCTTCCATTGTCATGTGCTTCTTTCTCTCTTCTCCTCCCGTTGGCCACGCCGGCTCGTCCCCTTCCAGTGGCCACGCTCCGCCCGGCCCAAAGGAGAAGGCGGCACGCAAGAGGAAGGGTGAGCTTTGTTTAGCGTTACATAAGTGTGGCTTAAATAATTTGCATTGCAACAGTAATTTGAAACAAACATTAGAGTTACGTGCATCGGTGGCAATGGATTGGAGAAGTGGAGTAGACAAAATGTGTGAAGTGTCTGGATACAGGGGCTAAAGTTTAGTCATGTCACATCGGACGTTCGGATGCTAACTAGGAGGACTAAACATGAGCTAATTATAAAACTAATTGCACATGATTAGACTAATTAGTGAGACGAATCTATTAAGCCTAATTAATCCATAATTAGCAAATGTTTACCTTAGCACCACCTTATCAAATCATTGACTAATTAGACTTAATAGATTCGTCTTGTAAATTAGCCTCAATCTGTGCAATTAGTCTATGTTTAATATTTCTAATTGTTATCCAAAGATTCAATGTGACAGGGCTAAACTTTTGCCTGAAAGAAACAAACAAAGCAACCTTATCTCCTTCCTTCTTCCCAATATTCTTGAGCCCAGTGCTCACGCTGACCGCCAAGAGTTGGCTTCCTATTGCCAAGATGGTCGTATGAATCCTTGAGTAGATGTTTAAACTTGTTTAAATCATGTTGAAATGGTGTGTTTAAATAGTTTTTATTGCTTTAAATATTTAAGTGACAAACTATTTAATTCACAGTTCATAGTATAAACTACAGGTGTACCCTTCGAGTATCATTTAAAGACGTGTAGGCAACGGTTTAAACATACGGGGAATGAGTTTGGGTGATTTGATGAAACAATTCAGTAAGAAACAAGTTATAGTAGAAAAAAAAACATTAGCCAGTCCTAAGAAACATGGTTAAAAAACAATTAAATTGTTGGACACTAACAAAAAAAACTACCAACAAGTACCACGTTTATTGTAATTGGTCGTGCACTTCAACAAGCTATCCTTGAGTCAGATTGCTCCAACACCATCAAGCAACTGATCAAACCAATTGCTAGGAAATCTGCCTCTAGCTTTATCATTATCATTTTATAATAAGCTCTAAAAGTACCAAGGAAACTCCTAAAGGAGAGAGAGAGAGAGAGCATGATTTAAGCCGCTCATGAGCTCCCCCGTCTAGCAAAACTATCATGTCATAATGCAGTGTGGTGCAAACGAAGATTAGATGTTGTCCTCAAAGAGCTTCTTGTCTCTTTGCCTACACTTGATGTTTTTTTTTTTTTCTTTCAAAAGACGCCCTTGGGCATCACATACCTCATTTATATCTATTAAAGAAAGCAAGAACGAGTACAGAAAAAACCATGCCAAAAAAGAAAACCATAATCTAACTTGACAGAGTCATCTTCCCCGCCACATCCATTGCAACCATGACGACCACACAGTATATTGTTCTGCATCACCACCAATCTTGTCGCCAATGATTGTAAGCAGTCTTGTGTTAATTCCTTTCTGCCCCCCCCCCCCGCCTTCTTTCTCAAGGTGCAAAGTCCACATGAGTATGAGGTCAACACAATGACCTAGAGAGTTTCATTGTCTTATACTCTTATGCACCTAGTATAGAGGTAAATCAGGAGTTTTGCTCTAGCCATTCAACAACAAAATGGACATATGCATAATCCTATGTCCCAATATAACTGCACTATAAAAACACGAGGACACTCTGTATATTTTAATGCGACTAAAACTTTGAAAATCAGGTCAAATGAGGATTTGTTTGGATCACACGTGGATTATTATAATCTAGATTATGCATGAGATTATTATAATTAGGATTATAAATAATAATAATAGTGTTTGAATCCTGGATTAACGTGGCTGATTATATAGTTAGTTAAAGTGGAAAAAAAATCTAATGTCGCCTTTTAGTTCGGCGCTACTTTTTGGCTTGACGTTGGGTGTTTGCATCCGTTGCCGCCATGCACATATAGTTGGCATTTAGCTCGCCTCTTTGCTATTGACGAGTGGAGAGGACGCGGTCCAACTCACACGAACGGCACACAGGGAGTAGCAACCGCACCGAGAGTCCATGCGGCAGGGCTCTCTGTTTCGCGTGAGTCCGTGCGTGTGATTGCCGAGAAAATAGAAGATGACATGGAAAAAAATTTGAAGAGAAATCTTTCTAGTAGAGGTCTTCTATTTATAGATATGGTAATAAAGAAATGTACTAATAAGTGTCTCCTATTTAGAGATAATAGATTATGGTTTTAAAGACTAGAAAAACCATTGCATCCAAACACTTTATAGCTTTTGAAAAGCAAAGTATTTTTTAGCATAATAGAAAGTGGGAATTATCTTAAGCTCAATGCATCCCTAAATTTCACATGAAAAAATTGAAATAAAAAATATATAATATTCTATCAAGATTTTTCCACCTCGATGCAGTCGTTGCTCTAAATGAACAAAGCATTGTGGAACACCAAAACCAGAGTGCAGGTGATTATGCCAAATGCAATGATTAAACATTAGGCATGTCGCAAGATCCAATATTCTAGCTAGAACCAGTCCGAAATACATTTGAATCGATGAAAGAACATCGCATCATCGGGTACAACATATGTTGTAGATTAATCACATCTAATACTTGATTTTCTCTTCACGATCGGCAGCGATGAGATCAATGATCTAGAGTACCTATCCTCGTTGAGAGTGCCCAACAACACATTTTCCTTTGTAGATAATGGCCACAAATAGGTTTTCTGCCGCGACGACCTCATCCTGGCAATCATCGAAATCGATACAAGTAACAAGACCCCAACCAAAATAATCCCATAGATTTATTTGGACTAAACCTAAACGAGCTAAAGCTAAAGAACCGCGGTAAACGATAGATGGGTCCTTCACATGAGAGGAAGAAGGAGAGGGCCCCTAGACAGTGGCGAGGAGGAGCAAAGGACGCAGCGATTGTCTCCTAGTAGGACGAAGCGACTGTGTTTACCTTCCTAGAATTGGACGAATATTAAAGTATATTTTATAAAGTCGTAGTATTTTTTGTCTAAGACATTAGAAAATTTTTAATCCAAATGGACCTAACATCTACTACTAGATTGTAGAGTCTTTGGTGACGCCTCCATAGTACTCCCTCCGTCCCAAATTAACTATTGTTTTGGGTTTTCATGCCGTAAATTTGACTAGATTTATAAAAAATACGTGCAACATTTGTATTTTCAAATAAATTTATTATAAAAATATATTCAAAATCTATCTAATGATATCAATTGTGTATTATAAATATTAATATTTTTTATATAAAATTAATCAAAGTTATTTTTTGGAAAGCAAGAACAATGGTTATTTTGGGATGGAGGGAGTATACATGACTCATATGCATGATTGATCGACCATGGTTACAACTAAACATTAAACAATTTGCAAGCACTTAAATAGATAACTCACTCACTGTATATGTTGAGTTGTTTGTGTGTAAACGTGAGTTGTATATATGCATATGCACTTAGGAGATTTCCAATAAACTATTCATCTTTAAATCCAACCTTTTCTTGATTGATGAAATTGAAAGTTTCGATATGCTAATGTGCGCAGCTTCAAAAATTTGACGAACCGACGGAAAGGTCGACAAAGGTCGGTTGGCATGATCCACGAAAAGGAGTTGGCCTACCCGGGCCACAATTCACAGGCACACCCCGGTGTTGTTTAGTTCCCCAAACTTCCAACTTCGGCACTATATAAAAAGAAGATTTTTGTCATATCAAACTTGCGGCATATATATGGAATACTAAATGTAGATGAAATCAAAAACTAATTGCACAGTTTGGTTGAATTTTACGAGACGAATCTTTTGAACCTAATTAGTCAATGTTTGGACAATAATTCATAAATACAAACAAAATTGCTATAATGTTTGTCGTCACGTCAAACTCTGTGCAAATGTCGATTCGGGTCGAACTAAACGAGGCGGCCACTCGTGCCCGTGCCGGCCGGCGGCTGCTGCACCTCCTGGCTCCTGGCTCCTGGCTCCTGGCCTAACCCAAACGTCAGATCGCATCGTGCTCTGCTTTCCCGATCAGACCGCACCAAAAGGCGGCACGTCATTGCTGGCGAGAGAATTCGCAGCCGAGACGGCAAAATCCAGGCCGCCACAGATCCCCTTCCCATATCCTGCCCCCGGGTTCTCCGCAGGCCGCAGCCGGCAGACCCGATCAAGCACGCTGCCGTTGCCGGCTGGGCAAGCAAAGCAGCAGCCGCGCGCCGCCCCCAGTCCCCACGCAGCACGCGATTCGCGCCGCCCCCCTCCTCTAATCTAACCCTAGAGCGCCCCGCCCGCCTCGGCGCCGCCGAATTGCAATCGCAATTCACCTAGTCTCGAGCCAATCCACGCGACGCTTCCTCTCCCCGGCGCTTCGTCGGGCGGCAATCGCCATGGATCCGCACCAACCCTTCGGCAACCCGCACCACCGCCGCGCCGCGCACCCCGGCCACCACTACCTAGACCAGCAGCACCCCGGCCACCACCAGCAGCAGCAGCACCACCACTTGGCCGGCGGCGGCGGCGCTGCCCCCGCGCGGTCCAGGTATGACTACGAGTACGACTCCCGCCCGATCCCGTACCCCCCTCCCGACCACCACCACCACCACCCCCTCCCGCGCGTCCACCAACAGCCGCCGCCGCCGCCGCCTCCGCCCCAGCCGCTGCCCCCGCCGCCACCTCCCCCGCCGCACCACCGCCACGACGGCCCCCACTACGCCCCCCTCCCGCTCCGCCCCACGCCAGAAACCTACTCCCCGCCGCCGTACCACAACCCCGCTCCTCCTCATCAGCCGTACCACCAGCAGCGCCACGGCGGCGGCGGCGACTTCCGCCCCGCCGACGAGATCCGCCGCATCCCCAGCCACCACCCCCACCATCACCACCAGCAGATGCCGTACCATCGCCACCAGCAGCAGCCGCAGCACCATCACCAGCAGCAGCAGCCGCAGCACCTTCACCAGCAGCCACAACTCTCGTGGGAGGAGGCTGAGGAGGGGCGCTGCTACGCTGCCCACCAGCTGAAGCCGCAGCTCTCGTGGGAGGAGGCTGAGGAGGAGCGGCGCTACGCTGCCCGTCAGCTCCGGGTGTCGCTGTCGCCACCCGGTGCACGGAAGAGGTACCGCTGCGCCATGCATGACTCGGGTGATCGGGAGAGCACATCCAGCTCTGGCCCGCCACCCCGCCGCCAGAGGCAACAGCCGCACCCTGGCTATTCTCCCCCACCAGATGACGGTTTTGTAGATAGGGCAACTAGTTATTCTTACGGCAGCCACGAGGGCTTTGTGGCGCACAGCGACAGTAATGGAAACAGGAAGATGCCGATGTCCATGTTGACTATGTTGCCTGGCTCGCCTAGGCGAGCCCCACAGAAGATGGCTCCTACGAGATTGTCTGTGTGGCATCGTATTGAGGAGAATCCCTCACTGTATACGCCACCTTCTCCACGCAAGGTGCCAAAGGAGGTGCATATTTCGCCGAGCAAGACCAAAAACTCTGGGTCTGCTTCAAAGGAATTGGCCAGCGTAATTTCTTTGGATTGCAAGGCAAAGAGTTCTGATTGTAAGGGTAGTGATGATAGTGCAGGAATGAAGAAGAATGCAGCAAAGAAAACTGAGAAGGTGCTGTCCTCAGTTATTGTGAAGCCTTCACCAGAAGCCAAGGAAAAAGAAAGAGCTGTTAATAAGGTTACCAAGAAGCCTGACAAGGTTGGTAATAGTATACCAGGTTTCACGAGTGCAGGTGTGAGATCTGCGGCCTTTCCTGGGCCTGGTGTGAAGAAAGTGAAAAAGATAGTCATCAAGAAGATTGTTAGGAAGATCGGTGCCAAAGATAAACAAACTAGTAGTTCGACCGTCAAGGACAGCATTGATGCTAATGCGGATGCCTCTGAGAAAGAAGAAGCTAATGCAAATGCTTCTGAGAAAGAAGAAGGTGAGATCACAACATCATCTTTTGAAAAGGATGCTATCTCTGCACACAATTTGGTCAGTACTGGTGATACAGCTGGAGTTGCTAACAGTGTGGAGGTCCAGAAGGAACAAAATAATGATTTGGTGAATCTGAGTAAGAGCAATGCTGCTTCAACCATTGCATCTACGGATACTCTTGACACAGCAAGTGCTAGCCAGAGAAAGCATCCTGGAAAAGAAGATTATAAGAGCTTCGTGAATTCAATTGATGGCAATGCATGTCCAGCCATTGAATCTATTAAAACATTTAATACAAGTGGTGTTGAACATCCTGGAAAAGAAGATGATAGGTGTTTCATCAATTCAAGTGTTAAAAATGCTACCCTTCATTGTGAGAACAATAATTCTCAACCGGAAGAAGAGGGTGAAATTCTGGCTGATGCAGTGGAACCACATGATTGTAAAGTGGAAAACATGGAAGACAACAAAGTTCCTGAGGTCCTGAGTGGAAATAGTGCTGTTTACGTGAATGGAGCTAAGGATTGTACAACAGAAGTTAGTGGAAGTGAGGATGACAGGAGGGAAGAAGGCCTTTTCCTTCTAAACGATCCCATTAGAAGTCCTAGTACAGATGAAGTTAGCATGACTCCAAGCAAGGATAACCATGAAAAAGAGGGTATGATTCTGATTGGTGCAAGTGAAGTGTGTGCTGCTTCTGTAGGCCAACCTGAGGGAAATCCCAAGATAGCAGAAGCCGCTGTTGCTCATGGTGCACGTAAGGAAGAAGGCAATCTGCTGAACAATCGAGGAGAAAAGGATGTGGCATCTTTTGGATCTTCGGGAACCCTTAATACCACGGAAAAAAGTGTTAATGAGATTACCCAGGAGAAAGAGTGGAGAATGCCCATTGAACCAAATGAAGCTACTTCTTTTGCACACCAAATTGTGCAGGCCTTGAGTACATTACAATTTAATGTTAGTGAGAATATCCAGAAGGAGAGCCAAATGCCCATGGATTCAAGTGCTTTTCAAACAATAGAATGCGCCGAAGCTCCTAACACAATAGAAGTTGTTAGTAGTAAGTTTGCTCAGAATGTAGCGTGCAAGAGCCCCATGGATTTAAATGGGACGAATGTAGGAACTTCAGAAAACTCCTTGTACACTCCAGAGTTTGATGTAGCAGGTGGAACCGACGATAGCAGCATGCAAGTTGATTTCCACGATGTGAAAGCTGCTTTAAGTAAGCCAGATCTTCCCCTGGAAGTAGTGGATACAGATACCCATGCTCTGCAGTCATCCAGAGATACAGAGAGCACAATTCTGCCATCATTGGATGATGATCCTATGAAGGATTCCTCTGGTGCTTTTATTCTGAATAATGGTGTAGGGAGGAGCACTTCATCTCAAGTAGCAGAACTGACACATCTTCATAGACCCCACCCGCCTCCTGACCACAACCCATCCTCCTTACATTCCCATGATTCGCCATCTGTATCTGGTAACAGTGAGCATTCTGTTCCTACAGCTTTGACCCTTGGTAATAATATCTATTTCAGTAGTGCAGAGAGTGAGGGACAGCCTGAGGAAAACCATAACCTAGTGGATGTAAACCAAGGATTTGATGTGACAATGACAGAATTTGGTAATATTGTCAAAAGAAAAGGTGAATCTGGCAATGACTTTATGAATGCAGGCAGTCAGAATTGGTTGACTTTACCACTTACTGTCAGCTGCTTGGATAATGATGCTACTGGTAGTAATGAGAGGTTAGGTTTAGAGCAGATTGTGGATGAAGGTGCCTCTGTCTGTCAGGATCATGATAGTATGCCAGATATTGACCAGCGTGGCAGTATTGATATTTTGTCTGGCCAGGATCACAGCCTCAAACTATGTGATATCAGTATGCCTCAAGCAGACCTTTTGGCAACCGAAGAGGGAAATAAGGATGTTGAGGATGAGATTGTTCTCCCAGGTTCTTCTATTAATTCTTTAAATGTTTTAGATCACAATAGTTATCGCACAGTGGATAAACCTATATATAACCTTAATAAACCGATTCTCTTATCTTCACAATCTGCTGATGCACCAGGTCGAGAGTTAGCTTCTTCTCAGGTATCTGTTGATTCTGATCACACCTATCATGGAAGTACCGAGGACCCTGTGGGCGTGTCAAGTACAACACCTGATTCGATATCCTCCTGGATTGAAGCCATTGTATCAGAAGCTAAAAAGGATCATCAATCATGCAAATCCTCTCTACTTCCTATCAGTTCTCCAGACAAGGTATCAGCACCAAAGGAGGATAGCAAGAAGGCATTGTCAGATTCAGTAGTCAACTCTGTAGTAAAATCTCCTCGAATTAATATTGCAAGCTCCACAGTATCGAACGTACCTACTAAACAGGTGGCTTTGCCTGGTTCATTGCGAGAGCCCCCTCGCTTAAACCAGAATACAAGGAACAGGACATGGCGTCGTGACAATGCGCCATCTTCTAATTCATCATTGCATGTTTCACAGACTTCAGGATTGCCCCCTAAACTCCCAGTAAAAAAGAACAGCAAAAGTGAAAACTCTTATATCCGCAAGGGTAATGCCCTCATTAGAAATCCAGCCACTGGAAATCATCTTCATTCTTCTTCTAGTCTAGATTCTCAAAATAAGTTGAGTAAGCCTGTTATGAGGAGAAGCATGAACTTTGTCAGGAAAGTCGATTCAAAAGACGTAGCACATTCTCATATTTCAGTTGAAAGACCCAAGACCCCACCTTTGCCACTTCACACCAAATCCATCAGTTGTGCTGTGAATGTTTTGGAGCCATTGTCTCAAAATTTGCAGCAACAGGTCCTTGAAACTGAAAAGGAAGATTCCAGTGGGCAGGTTAACTCAGGTGCTGACAATCCAAGCATTATTAGTTCGCACAAGTCTGAAGCCCTTGATGCTGGTAAAGCAATTTATGTTAGACCAAAGTTAAATCAACTTGTTGCTGCACAGGGGCAACATCTTGGTGAGTCGAGTAACATTTCCTTGGATAAGATTATGTTACTGCAGCCATCTGCAACATCTGATCTCTATTTCAAGAAAAGGAGAAATCAGATTATTTTGGGTCCCTCTACTTCTGATGCTCCGAGTTCAAAAGATACATCTCAAGCCGAGAATATAAAGTCGGGTGAGAGTAAAGTTCTAATGTCTGCATCTTCCAACAACAATATCACTGTGGCAAAGGACAGGCCGCACAAAGGTAACATGCTATAAAAAATACTTGTTCATACTTGTTCGGCTGTTCCTTGTACCTTTAACCAAGTTGTTATTTAATTAGCATGTTAGCATTCTCTAGTATGCTGGAACCTGTTTGGAAATTACATATAGTGTATTTCACGTCTATTGAGCAAGTAGTTTTGCATGTCTGTCTTTTTTTTATTTCAGTTATTTCTTCAGTGTAAATTAGAAGGAACATTAGCTAAATTGAAAAAATGAGAACCATAACTAAATATGAATGATATTATTGCCAAACTATGCATACCTGGTTATAGTCCTATAGATGACCTTTCCTCTTGGTATCCCACTCTTTCACCTTTTGAAGATCGAGACATGAACACCTTTCTCCTGCTTTTTCTATGATGAGTTGATGACTTCACACTGTTTTTCCTACAAGATTTGGTCACTACTTGTCAAACTTTGTGTAGACAGCATCTTTGTTCTAAACTACATTGCTGCCAGCCTTTTCTTTCTTTTCCCTCTTGACCTATGCTTTCTGAGGGCATGTACTTGGACAATGAAGCAATGCTAATTCATTTTGAAATATCATTTGTGTAAATTTTCTAAATGCAGCTCTTAAGACAACAAATACTGTCAGAAGTTTCTCTCATGTCTGGACACTTAGTGGACAAAATCCTCGAAAGAAATCTTTTGTGGGAGCTAGTCATATGAAGGCCTTCCCTCGTATACTTCCATGGAAAAGAAAAATATTCTGCCAGAACTTCAGAGGCAGTTACTCTTCGTTATTGAATACAAGCTCTATAGGGATAATGAGGTAACCAATACCAGAATGGCCTTAATTTTCCCTTATTCTGTATTGATTCATTCCATTCAATTTGTTAATAGCAAGTCATGATCCTCTATCATTTGTCAGAAAATTATTGCAAACAAGGAAGAGAAGTACTATTTACACCGTCTCTACTGATGGATTCTCTCTTCGGAAATCTGGAGTGTTAAGTATAGGCGGGTCAAGTTTGAAATGGTCAAGGTCCCTTGAGAAACATTCTCAAAAGGTTAATGAGGTATTGAATTCAGAGATGCATAATCTCCCTGATCACTCATTGAGTAATCCATGTGAATTTAGTTTAGTGTTCTAACCACCACTGCATTATATTCAGATGCGGAATTCAATGGAAACATGTGAGGATAGATTTAAATATAACTGCATTTTCTTTTAGCTCTTGAAGCTCAAATATAAATATTATTCTTAATGAATCCCTGTTTTGAGAGTTAACATTTGTTAGACTGCTAGTAGGGTCATGAGAACATATACTATACTATCTTGTTTCCTAGTTTCATTTGTTAAATGTTATTTCAGAATTAGTAACTTGCATAGTTTCTATGTTTTTCAACACCAAGAACATTATTTTGTTTAGTTTATAGAGCTGCTGCCTTGCACTATTTTTGCTTGATCAAACATGCGCAATCTGAAATCTGGATTGCAGGAAGCTACGCAGGCAGTTGCTGAAGTTGAAAGAAAGAAAAGAGAAAAGAGAAAACGGCAGTCTCTCCGTAACAAGGGAAGGAATGGTAATGCATTAGGTATCTTTCGATGGTCATAAACTAAAATATTATATGCATGAGATACGTAACTAGAAGGGCAGGCCTGGTGCAGTGGTGAGAGCTGTCTCACTGAGTCACCAGGTCGCGGGTTCGAAGCAGCCTCTCCGCAGATTTTGCGGGGGGAAGGCTTGCCTCGGTTTTTCCCTTCCCCAGACCCCACTCATGTGGGAGCCTCCGGCACTGGGTCTGCCCTGCCATGAGATACGTAACTGTATAATTCCATGCAATGCAATTGTTCTGTTTTTCATATGACTTTCAATCTTTCATGCTTCTTCGCCTTAAAATTTAATTAGTTACTGATGCACCAGATTGATTTTCAATTTGTGTTTTCTAAGTCTGAACATGTTCTACTCTTTGTAGTCCAGTTTAAGATTCATGGTTGCTAATTATTCATGATTATCTACCTTTCCATGTTGGAACACTTTGGTTTGGACTTTGGACTACCTTTCTTAGAGCTATCAGTACCTAGTCTCCTAATTATCATATCTGATATTTCCATTTCTCACTAGATTTGTGTTGTTTTGACTTAACGGTTCATGATTCCCATTTTGTTTTCAGATCGATACTCTGCATCAGTTGCTGCCAATCAATTAACAAATAGCAGCAGAGCATCTTCAGATTCAAGGGTGTCGTCAACTTGCAATGAGTATGTTTCGCACCATGTTGCATTGTATCTTGTATTAGGAATAACAGACAGAATCATGACATCTCTTTCTCTACTTGTCTTTCTATGAGCAGATACGTGCGTGTTAATAAAGGTAACCAACTGGTCAGAAATCCGAAGAAAGTAATCCGCATGCTAGCAAGTGAGAAAGTTCGATGGAGTTTGCACACTGTTAGAAGACGGTTGGCAAAGAAGCAGCAATATTGTCAATTCTTCACTCGCTTCGGCGAGTGTAAAAAATCTGGTGGCAAGTGTCCCTATATTCATGACCGAGCTAAAGTGGCTATCTGTACTAAATTTCTTAAAGGCTTGTGTTCTAGTACTAATTGCAAACTAACTCACAAGGTAAGATTTCTTCTTGATTCTACTAGTGGTCATGGCTTCATTCTTTTCCATCACAAGTATCTGTCCTGCAGGTCCTGCCAGAAAGAATGCCAGATTGTTCTTACTTTCTGCAAGGTGATTCATTTCAGTGTCATTGTACCGTTGTTTACTATCCTTTGCAATCGATTGCCTGCTTACATGTATGTTTGGCATCGCTAGCAGGGCTCTGTACCAACACAGCCTGTCCCTATAGGCATGTGAAAGTGAACTCGAACGCCCCTGTTTGCGAAGATTTTTTGAAGGGATATTGTGCTGATGGTGATGAGGTATTTATGATAGCACTAGAATTATATTGATCTTAAATTTTTGTTCCGCACCTTGCATTGGAGGGTAGGTAGGCACATGATTTCCTATGGAGGTAGCAAGTATAAAGCTTGCTTCCACTGGGTTGTTAGTGTGAACGATATTTCGTATGAGAATTAATATATGTAGGTTGGTGTCCTTCCTTTGTATATTTGTTCTAACATGAAATGTTTTATAGGACATAGAGTGTCAAAATATCCACCTTTTAGTTCCTTAATTTTGGATAATCTAATTTAGTTGAGTGTTGATTCTTCATAGATAAATAGATCAGAAAGGTTGCCTCCTTTTGGGGGAAACCTATGCTGGAAAAGCATGCTGTCTCTGCTTTGAGTAAAAACACGTCTCTGCTTTAAAACATAGCTCGTTCATCTTTTAAACTTCTGGGGCCTTAGATGAACCTTTATGGTTCTGAATCGAGATCACTAATCTTTTCATGGACTTGAAACAATCTCTGTTACGAGCAGTGTCGTAAAAAGCACAGCTATGTATGCCCCGTCTTTGAGGCGACAGGAGAGTGCCCACAAGAATCAAGATGCAAGCTTCATCACCCCAAGAAGAAAAACAAATCCAAGAGAAGCAAAGTAGACACCGTCCAAAACAACAGTTGGGGTCGGTATTTTGAGACAAGTATTGGCCATGGCAGTGGAGCAAGGATAGTTTCTTTGGAGGAAGAAGAGAGACAGAAACCAGAGCAAGTCTCTGGTGAGGACTTTGCTGACTTCATTGAACTTGGTGCTGATATTGAAGTCCCTGAAGATGCAGACGCTTCGGATGACATACAGCCGATGGAATTGGACTCGGGGAATCTCGAGATGCAGGCTGACAATCTTGACGCGATAATCAAGCCACTTCGGATCATGAGAATGGCAAGAGTTTGATGAGTTCTTTTGTTGGATACAGCTGCAGTGTTACTGGGTCAGGGAGGTATGTTATGCTATGTATGACGAGGCATAGGTGCTGACTGGAGTTTCTAATTCTTGAAGACTGGTTCTGACGGGCCGTCAGTTTTTACTTGGCTGAAGGTTTGATTTTGTTCATCTTGTACATCTCTTAGGAAATATACAGGGTCCATATGGCAGTGGTAGAGGCCATGAGGGTTACTGGCTGGTAACCTGTGTTTTTTCTACATTACCCAGAGTTGAATGTAACAAACAGTGCTTTACAATAGCATAGAGGAAATGAAGGTTTCATTTTGTTGCGCTGCACATCGTTTGGTTATATAAAATTGTGAAATTCTGCCTTTAGACACATTTTGATGATGTGCATACAAAGAAACTTGCTCTCTGCGGTAAAAAAATAACATAATCTGGAGCTGGAACCAGGTTTCCAACCTGACAGCAATGTGGTATTCTGTTTCTGTGAGGCAGCTTTCGTATGTTTGGAAGCTGTCAAACTTACAGACTAGGCTCTTAAATCGATATAAGCTCATATGGTTCAAAACGAGCGGAGATCTATGGATACAATAGATCCGTATTGGACTACAATAATAAAAAAAAAAAAAAAAAACTGGTGTTATACTCGTCAGGTCAGGAGGATTTTGCGGACACGCTCATGCCGGTTTTGGCACTGGGGCAGCTTCTGTTTTAGACAATGTTACAGACCGCAATGCTGGTTTTGGCACTGGGGCAGCTTCTGTTTGGGTCAATGTTACAGACCGCAGTAGCTCCAGTGAGCTGGATATCCCAAGGAAATGTGAAAGGATCGTGTTGGCTGAAGCCTGTAGATGATAGAAACAAAAGGCAAGAAAACGATGAGTGCTCTTGTATCAGTAATAACGTAGCGAAAATACCAGTTATATTGAATAAATAAAGAAATGGACTGCCACAATGTCAAACAAACATAGTAATACCAATTGGACTAACATAAATTGAATTTTAAAAATCAATGGAGGTCTAGAGCTTTAGTTATGATGAGAATTAGACACTAGCTATTGGAAATAATATTGGTTTTCAGTTGTGGACCCGTGTTCCAATATTTGTGTGAAGATAATCTATGCCAGACTACACAAAACAAACTTTCCCATTAGAAAGAAAGCATGAAACACCCACATAAGCTATTCTTACTGTACACTAAACACAAATGAAAACAAAAATAAACAGTGGCATACCTGAACAAGAAAGATATCTAAAGCAAGAACGGGACTCTGTCCAGGGGATATTCCCTGGTAGTAGGGCACTGGTGAGGTAGTGAGTGCTTTGCCTACCAAAGCACCTACAGTTGCCTGCAGGCCAAGAACTGCAGCAGCCATTCCAACAACATTAAGCACGATACTGTTCCTCAGATTATTAACCACATCCGCACGTGGAGGAGCCTGAAAAAGGAGAAAACAGTTTTAGTTTTGGCTCAGAAGCATGTCTAGAGCATTTTATCAAGAGCACCACATAAAAGTAAGATAACAGAATTCTCCGTAGGAGTTTGATTCCTATTTTTATTTAGCTTGAATCAGAAATATATTCCAGCCACTTTACTTCCAGCAGATTTAGCGAAATAAGTCAAATACTACAAATAATGTGCTGATGGGTGTAAGATCCAGATGAGGACATGAAGCAGCTGTAGACAGGTGGAAGATGGTGCGAATATAATAGGCTAAGTGACAGCAGAAATATTTTGTTCCACGGAGAAAAAGAAAATAATGCTGCAGCTTTACAACTATTTCAGGCGATGGAAGTACCTTCGAAGGTTCATTTGCTGTTCTTTTAAGCCTTTCAGAAAGGCGGATATAACCATATGACTGGAAGACTGAGATGAAGGCCATGACGATGCCAACTGCAGTTGCACAGAATGTGAAGGGAGCTGTTACATTCCCTGTAGCAACCGCAGAGAATGACAGAATCCCAGCCGAAACAAATGTACACACTAACTGAGACCAAAACCCCAGGGTACCCAAATTCTTAAAATGCCGTGCTGTTTTCTCTAGTTTTTTGCTAACCTGCAAAAGAAAGGTAAGTACTGATTGGCTAATACTTGAGAATCATAGTATGCATAGTAAATGTATGTTGGGAGCATGAGTGTTGGAATCATAGTATGCATAGTAATGTATGCTGGGAGCATTAGTGTTGGTAGATCCCAGTGACTATATGATGGAGAAAAATAGCTTTAGGTGCCTGACAATATAGAAATACCACCATGTTAAAGTTTATTTAGGAAACAACTCTCTTAAAGTCTAACAATTGAACCAGGTTACTGTATATGCTAACAGTCGAGTAACAGAAGATAGTACCTCATAGTTAACACATGAGTGTTGGTAGATCCCAGTAACTATGTGATGGAGAAAAATAGCTGGGGTACCTAACAATCTAGAAAGATCACCATGTTCAAATTTATTTAGGAAACAACTCTCTTGTTGTCTGACAATTTAACCAAAAGTTACTATACGCTAACAGTCGAGTAACAGAAGATAGCACCTCACAGCTAACACACGAGTGTTGGTAGGTCACCTCATAGCTAACACATGAGTGCTGGTAGATCCAGTAACTATGTGATGGAGAAAAATAGCTGGGGTTCCTGACAATCTAGAAAGATCACCATGTTCTAGTTCATTTAGGAAACAACTCTCTTGAAGTTTGACAATTTAACCAAGTTATTACTATACGCTAACAGTCAAGTAACAGAAGATAGGACCTCATAGCTAACATATGGATATGGAAATTATAACAGTAACACAACTTCAGAAATCATGAACAAAAGATACCACAGTTTACATGAGGTTTTGGTAGAACTAAATGTGGTTTCTGAATATAGTAAAACCAAACGATATCACACCTCTTCCGAAAAATAGACTACAAGGCAATGTATCAACAAAGTCGGAGTCTTTATTCTTTAATATTGATGATCGAATTCTAAGGTGCCACTTCATTCCATCACACCAAAGCAGAGCAGTAGCAGAAGAAGAAACTACCACGGCATTGCTTATATTTTCTTTCCTTGCATTCGCTGATGTGCTCTACTAGCTCTCTCAAATAGTCAAAATATTTGAACCTCATTGCCCAATTGTTGCAGCAACCAGAAACAACGAGCACGTGGTTGCAAGAACCCCAATCTCCAGGACACTTGACTACAACTCTAACTGTCCTTATCCGGACACTAGAAATCCTGGCGGTACGGCTACTGAGACTCAACACATCAACGGAGTGGGCGGGTGAAAGGCACCTGAGCCAGCTTGGCGCGTTCGGCCACGGCCTCCGCAGAGAGAGGGCTGGGGTCAGACTCTGCCTCCGCAGAGAGAGGGCTGGGGTCAGAAGGACTGGATGTCGCCGCCCCAGCCCCTGCAGACGCGGCGGTGAGGTGGCGCGGCGAAGAGATTCGGTCGGCGGCATAGAATGAGGTACCACCGACAGCAGCCGCACGACCGGGAGCGGAGAAGTGGGGCTTCGGCGCCGGCGCCGAAGCCACGGCAGAGGACACCGGCCGCCGCCTCAGCGTCGGGAGGGCCGGCCTTGGCGGCGCCGGGGAGAGGTGGAGCGACTGCATTTGTGATTTGTGTTGTGTGGCGTTCGGGTCGTTGCCGGTCACGGGGGTTTCCCACTCTCTTTTTTTTTTTTTTGTGATTGACATTCTTCCCACTCATTCTTTGCTTGGAGAGTGGCTTTACGAAAAGCTTCGACGATTATGGACATTTTTCATCTGAATATTTTCTGAAACAGTGCGAATTTAGGTCCAGCAAATTCAGCATTTGGAGAGGAAAAAAACAGCACTGAAACATGTGGGGTTTATTTAGCAGTGCAAGAAGAAATTTCAGAATGAAAAATAAATGCGATGACCTTAGCTATCAAACTATACAATCAGAAGGGTGAGCGTATGTTGTTGTTTATAATGTGCTTTCCAAACGGAAATGAGAAAATAGTTTCTTCAGTCATGGCATTAGCAGTTTTCGATAAATGACTTTATAATGCCTAGATTGGGAAAATAGTTTCTGCAATCTAGGTATATGATTGAGAAAATAGTTTTCTCTTGTTTGTTTGTTGTCACCATTGAATTTAGCTACTGATATTCGACCAACAATGTTTTTTTTTCTAATGTTTTTTTCTGAAGTGTATAATCATGTAACATGAACATGGTAAACGGTGCGAACGGAGCCTAGCCACCTAGGTTTAAGTCCTTGACTTGGCACAGATGCTCGTAGTTTTCTGGATTCATTCCAGGATTTAACGACACTGTTGAAAGGTCCTAAATGTCTAGAGGGGGAGTGAATAGTTTATAAAAATTTCTACAAAAACAATAGAGTAAGAGGTTAATACACTAAATGACGAAATATAATTTTACTCTAGCTCTACAAGGATTGCAAGCCACCTATTCCAACAATTCTAGTTTCTATAACCACTAGCACACGCAACAAGCTAAGTCACTACTCACTAAACTAGTGTGCTCTCAAAGGCTAACTAAGGAGTCACACTAACCAAACTAACAAGCTCTTAAAGACTAATTACACTAAAGAGCTTGACAACTAGTTTGCAAGGAATGTAAAGGGGTGAATAGGGTGATTATACCGTCGCGTCGAGAAATGAACTAATCACAATGTGGAGACAACCAATCACACAATAGACACAAATTTTTTTCTCGTGAGGTTCACATGTTTGCCGGCACGCTAGTCCACGTTGTGTCGACCAACACTTGGTGGTCGGCGGCTAAGAGGTGTTGCACGAACCTCGTCCACACAATTGGACACCGCAAGAATCTACCCACAAGTGAGGTAACTCAATGACACGAGCAATTTACTAGAGTTGCCTTTGGCGCTCCGCCAGGGAAGGCACGAGACCCCTCACGAGCAATCGATCGAGGCCGGAGACCATCACCAACTCTGCTCAACGATCCTCCAATCACCGGACCGTCTAGGTGTCAGCAAACACCAAGAGTAACAAGCTTACAACCAACCCAAATCACCCAACTAGTGCCACAAGATGATGCAACTCAATGCAATGCACTAGAGGCTCTCCAAACTCACTCAAGATGACGAAATCAAGTGAACAAGTGAGTGGAGTGTGTTGCTCAGCTTCCAAAGGGTGTGCACAAGTGTATGAGGTGCCAAGAGAGTGGCCAAGGCCGGCCACACCCTCTATTTATAGCCACACAAGCAAATAGAGCCGTTGTACCCCTTCGAGCTATTTCTGCGAGGTCACCGAGCATGGCGGTGACCTGCCCAACTATCGAATTTTAACGGTCACAAACTAGCCGTTGGGGCACCGAACAGGGTGGCGGTGACACCGCCCTAGGGGTGGCGGTGACCACCCAGCCGTGCCCCCGAGAGACCATGTCTCTGGATAAAAAGGGGCGGTGCACCGCCGCACCCATGGCGGTGACCAGGGCAGTGCCCCCTTCGCTAGCTCTAGCCTCTGGATAAAAACGGCGGTGGCACCGTCGCGCCAGTGGCGGTGACCATGGCGGTGCACCGCCGTGCCCGAGGCGGTGTACACCGGCATGTCTGATGACCACCCCAAACCAGCGTCCATCGGCCTCTGCCAGCCGGTCACCGGACAGGTCAGGGCGGTGCACCGCTACACCCATGGCAGTGACCACTCCGAGGCAAACACCTCCGTTAGCTGCGTTTTCGATTCTCGATTCGATCCACAAGCAATCTAACACTCTTTTGCAAGCGTTGCTAACTCTGAATATGTTTTCCCAAAATATGTTAGAGCCAAGTTAGCATTTCTCAAAATATTTTCCATAAATATTTTCGATTGCTCTCCGAAGTGCACTAGGCCTAAATTGCATGAAGTCCAACACCTAGTGGCACTAGATGACCGAATTGTCTAGTTAAGAACCCCTCTTAATAGTACGACCATTTATCATAAATGTGATCACACTCTCTATAATATTTTGATCACCAAAACGCAAAATCCCTATTTATACATTTGTCTTGATTTCCATAGGGTTTTGTTTTTCTCTTTCTTCTTTTCCAAGTTAAGCACTTAATCATCATCACATGTGGCCATCTTCATTATTTCATGTGATCATCATCATCAATTGAGTACCACCATGCTCCTTACTTGGATTGCACCAACTTAGCTCATATCACATCTCACGACAAAGGTTAGTGCATAGGTTTCATTAATTATTCAAAACCAAACTAGGACTTTCAGTTGTGCTTTCAGTGGTAGGTGACGTTCCCGTCAACAGCGAAGCGCCTGTGGTGACTTTGTCAATCTCGAGATGCCCCGGCACAGTCTTTCGAAGGTGCTCATAAGGATAGGGTTTCTATACGTGTATTTATAGGGATGAGTGTGCATACGTGTGAGTGTCTACGTCTGTACTTGTGTAATTCGTAAAAAAAAAAAAGAAATGGTAAACGGTTTACTAACGTACGTTTGGAGCTATCTGCTTTAGCATTTGGCCACAATATGTTGTCAAAGTGTATTCACTTTAACATTGAGCACCTTACGGTAAGAAACACACCACTAATAATTCTAAAAAAAAAGGAATAAACCTTTTTGCTAATGTGACATCAAGTTTAATAAGAGAGAAGAAAAAACTTGGCAGCAAAGACCAAGTTTTTAAAACCGGAAACATATTTTGCGTCTACCATAGACACAACTCATACACACAATTAATTAACTTTTAAATCCTAAGAAATAAATTTATAAGTGTATGCATTGGAAGGGTGATAGCATCTCTTTTTCTATGACATGACATCTATGAATAGCGCGAGGGATTCCATAATTAGGCAGTGTCCGAATCAAATGAATTCATGCCATCTTTAAGCCCCTTTAAAATGATGATTGTTTCTCATTATGTTTTTTTGTGAAATTGAACTGATTCGAGTAAAAATTTATATAGGATTTCTATAAATTCCTACTAAGTATGTTCCAAATTATAGTTCATTTGAATTTTTTGACTCTAAATTTGACAACTCGTCTTATTCAAAAATTTGTGCAAAATATCATTTATTTTGCTGTGGCTTGCTTTATTAACAAAAAGTTCTTCAAGAATGACTTAAATTTAACTATGTTTACACAAATTTTTTGAATAAGACGAGTGGTCAAACTTAGAGTCAGAAAAGTCAAATGAATTATAATTTGGAGTACATTCTAAAAGTGGCTATGTTCAAGATATTAGAGTTGGTTTGCGAATCGGCATAAAAAGGCTTCATGTCCGATGATATTTTGTTCATACGGACCACTGAACGCATGCTACTAGGAAAGTATGTTGGAAGAACTTGTAATATTTCAAGTTCTTTTGTATATAATTTGAAGACTATGAAAAAATACAGAGTGTAATATAATTTGGTACTAGAAACCAAGTGGAATTCATCATTTCTCGTTCTCCAACATAGAAAACGAAAAAATCTATAAAAAAAAACATAGAAAACGAAACAAAACCTGACGACACCCACATAAAAAAGTGAGAACTAGAAACAACCGCCGTGTCACACCACAAATTCGTGCTCTCTTCGTCCGCGGTGCTCACCGAAATTCCCGAATCTCCCAGCCACCGCCGCCGTGCTGTCAAACCATGCAGGCGGTGGCGTTCGCGTCGGCTCCGGCCATATTCGTCTCCGCCTCCGCCTCCGTGCGGCCCTGCCGCAGCACGGCTCCGGACTCCGGGCGGCCCCGCCGCGGCGCGCGTGGCGCCGTCCGGTGCGAGGTCGCCTCCTCCTCGGCGCCGTCGGCGGCTGGACCCCAGGCCGCCCGGTGGGCCCAGAGGACCGTGGTCATCCCGCCTCAGCGCCGCGGCTGCCACCTCATCACCAACAAGGTGCCCTTTCTCCCCCGCCATGCGCCCCCTCGCCCCTCGTCGTTCCTAGTCGTACATAGCTTCAGTTGCCTGTCGGGTGAGGTGATGGTGTTGTTTATCGTCTGTCGCAGATCGTAAACGAGATAAGGAATGACCTGGCCGAGTTCAAGTGTGGCATGGCGCATCTGTTCTGTATGTATTTATTCACAATGGATGCGTTTCCTGCAATTTTTTTGGTGCATAGTTGATTTTGTGTATCAATTTTTTTTCTCTCAGTGATGAAAGTTACGTGATTATTTAGTGTCGATGGTATACTACTGTCAGTCAGAATCATTAACACGGAGACCATAAGATAAGTAGGCCACTGGACGGTCACAATATCTGGAGTTGGTCTGCGTTCCCAGTGCTTTTCATGTCAAAGCTAGTATGGACAATTGGAAATAGGTACATTGAGAATCTTTGAAGTTGTGATCACTGATGAATGCATCATTTGTGAGCGGATATGCTTGGGAGAGAATTCAAGCGGAACTCACTAGAACAACCATAATTTGAATACTTTTTTTATTTAGTCTCATGGAGATGCAAGTTCTGAGTGGATTCTAGCAGTTGGCTCTTACATCTATATACTATCAGTGTTGGCAAATTCTGTAGGTCTTGTTTTGTTGTAGCGATGTCAGTATTTCTTATTCTCATGTCCACCATTTGAGATTTTGAGCACTTGTGCGATACATAGATTTTTCCCTTTTGTCATTTATGCAAAAAAGGAAGAAAGAAAAAGAATTTGCTGTTACTTGACTTTCTTG